GAGTAATGACGAGGGGGGGGGTGGAAAAGGCATAGAAAGCAATCATGGATACCAGAGACAATATGGGAGGAGGGTTGGACATGGCAGAGGGTGAGGGATAGGGAATCAAGGATGACAAAAAAAAAAAAAAGCAAAATATACAAGACATAAGAAATGGAAAATTATTTGTTGATAACACATATGTTGATGTGCTTAATTGAGCCAATATACAGTGTATTCTGGATGGAGAATTCATTTTGTATGCTTTAATGATGTATAGTGAGTTAATGTAAAAAAATAAATTAAAAAAAGGAAAAAAAAGTTAAAAGAAAAAAAATGGGTCACTTGACAATAAGAGCAAGATTAAAATTTTAATTTATATCCCTAGCATTTTATTGTGTCTAAACATCAACTTATACATAACATATGTTCTGTTATACTTAGATGTGCTGTCAAACTGACTTCTTAAATTGGTAGTTCTTTTATATTAAGATATCTAGTGTGTGTCTAGTATGCTCGTTATTGATGTTTGCACTCAAAATACTGGGGTTTTGGAAAAGTCATGATGTATTTTTTCTGTTTTTCTATGCAAAAATGTGTCATGACTTTTCAGACAACCCAATATAATCAAAGATCAGAATACTCCTTTATATGTTGTTGGTAGTATGTTTTGAAATGTAGAAACTATTGGCCAAATTAGATTTTTAAGAAGGTTCCATCATGAGACTGATGTTTGATTTTATTTCCTAAGTTATGAAATTAAGATTGGTAGTGACTTCTTACTGAAAAGTGGTAGGCAAGTTTTTCTAAATGCCTTCTATTTTTAATAATTTCTTTAGAACTTGAGCTAATTAAAATGATGAATGAAATTCAAAGTAATTTAAAATGTCTGGGTCTTCTGGAGCCTTATTTCTGGAAAAAGGGAGAAGCCTGTGCAGTAAGAGGATCTGATACCTTGTGGTATCGAGGGAAGGTGATGGAAGTTGTAGGTGGCACTATCAGGGTGAGTCCGATATTCTTTTATTGTTATTACTATTCTAAGGCTAAATGCTATAGCATTAAGTGGACTTTTGAATATGAACACAAAAATTTTAAACTTCTTTTTTTTATTTTTTATTTTTGGAGAGGTTTTTGCTATAGAGGGCGCGTGCACTCACCAGACAGACAGAGAGAGAGAGAGAGAGATAGAAAGTGAGAAATCACCCCCCAGAGGGGATGGCCATGCCACAATCCTTTCTCCTCCATTCCCCTCTCGGGATCTTGGGCACGCACGCACACGTGCCCAGCATGAGTTTAAGCCACCGGGTCCAGGACTCGAACCGCGGTCGACTATGTGGGAGTCCAGTGACATAGCCATTACGCTAACTGCTGGCCCTCTAAAACATTTTTTAATGAGTTCAGTTATACCAGAAGATCAATCAGGTGCATTATGCTTTTATTTGTAATAAGACTTCTTTCTTTCTTTTTTTTGTATTTAGTAACCCGAATAACCAAAATATATTCTCAGGCAGGAATTTGACCACTTGGATTTTTAGGGATGATCCACTTAGTTATAATTGATAGCCTTGTTTTCACATGAAGTATTAAGTAAAACCACTTGTTTTCTAATTTATTAAATATGTCCTTATCAAATTTCTTTATAGCCCAGTTAATCTTTTCAAGGTAAGGTCTAATTTACCTTCCCAGCATGGTGAGGTAGTACTCAAGTGTTGTATGAAATCTTCAAAAATAGCTGCATGCTTTGAAAAATGTGTATGTGAAAATACCTTTGTTTACATTGTGTTTTCTAAGTAAAGCAATGAAATTGATGAAGAACTTCAATATTCAGCACTTGAAAATGTTTTAGTTTTAAAATGAGAAATGAAAAAATTAAGGAGAAAAGTATTCTGTTTCTACTTGGACAGACGTTTATTTTCTATTTGATGTTGATATCTAACAACTACATAACACTTCAGGTTTTTTACTTCTTTCACTTATGTACATTCACACTTTATCATTTGTTTACAACTACCCTAGACAGACATTATTATTCCCATTTCACTAATAAGAAAATTGAAGTTTAGGTTTGTTGACCTGCCAAGGTCACTCTCTCAATGAGTGTTGAGTTCATTCTCACTTTTAACTCATTCCTTAACCTCTGATTTTGTCTTGTGCTTTTTCTACTGGACTGAAAACTTTTAATAGCTTTAATAAAAGGAAAATACTTTTAAATTCAGGGGTGAGTACTTAAGCATCTGGATATTTACAGATTCATCAGGTTATATTCCAGAAGATCATTTTCTTATAAATTTGAGTTGTGCAAATAACCTGTATCCTTTTTTTTTTTTTAGTATAAAGGTAAACCAAAATTCAGTTTTCATCAAGTCATCACACTTTATAAACTTTACATATGTGGAATCCAAATTACTAAGATGCTGAACTTTTTTGGTTTTTGTTTGTTTGCTTGCTATAGAGCAAACAAGCTCATCAGAGAGAGATAGGGGAAGGAGAAAATGAGAAGTCATACCCCAGTAGGGATGGCCCCCTCTGTAATCCCTTCTCCTCCATTCTGCTCTCAGCATTGGGCACATACACACATGTACCAGGTATGATTTTCAGGCCACTATGTCCAGTCTTGAATGCTCAGCTGGCCGTGTGGGATCCAGTGTCTTAACCTCCATGCCACCTGCTGGCACACAATGGTGGACTTTTTAATTTTTTTGTTTTTCATACTAAACATCTCAGTTTATTTTAACTTTTTAAAAAATACTTGGGTAGCTTAGCCATCACCTTTTATTTTTTCCTCTGTTCATTTTATATTTCAAGTGTACACAATTAATTTATCTTTCAAAATTTATCCTATGATCTACATTAAGAAATAAACATTTCATGAAATCATACTCATCTTAACTACCTGTGATGTATGTAGATATTTTTATTCAATTCTATTTCCTCTTTTTAAATATTAATTGTCAAGTAAACCTAACTAAACTGATATGTTCATTTCATTATAGTCTTAGAAATTGAATTATAAAGTTTAAATAAAGTATTTCTTAAAGTAGTTTAATAAATGGATTTCTTTCAAGAATATGTTAATCTAATAAAAACCAGTTTTAAAAAAGGTTTTGATTCATAAGTTATGTGTAAGAAAACCTTTTAACAACGAGGTTTTGATACTTTATGGGATGAGGAAATACAATGTTGCTTTTTTTTTCTAGAAATTTTTTGAATCCAAATTTAGTTATCTTTCCAGGATGTCTTTTTCTTTTTAAAAATTTAATGTGTTTTTTTTTTTTTTTTTTTTTTTTTGGAGAGGTTTTCGCTATAGGGCGCGTGCGCTCACCAGACAGACAGAGACATAGAGACAGAAAGCGAGAAATCACCCCCCAGGGGGGATGGTCACGCCGCAATCCCTTCTCCTCCATTCTCCTCTCTGGATCTTGGGCACGCACGCACACGCGCCCAGTGTGAGATTTAAGCCACCGGGTCCAAGACGCGAACCGTGGTCGACTACGTGGGAGTCCAGTGACATAGCCATTACGCTAACTGCTGGCTCCCTAAAAATTTAATGTTAATGCCAGGAAATTCCTCTGTCTCCTCCTTTTTCTTTCTTTTTTTTTTTTCTTTTTAATTACCAGAAGGTAAATAAACTCAACAGAGAGAGAGAAGAGGAAGAAAGCATCCTCCATTGGGGCATGGTCATGCCACCATCCCTTTTCCTCCATTTCTTTATTCAGTCAGGATTTGGGGCATAAATGTACAGATGCCCAGCCTGTTTTTCAAGCTGGTGGGGCTGGTATTCAAACCAATTAGCCATGTGAGATCTGGATCCCTATACAGAAGGCTTAACTGCTGTGCGACTGGACCAGCCCCCTCAAACTTTTAACAATATATTTTAACTATACATTTTTTTATCTTTTAAAAAACTATTTATTTAATTTTATTTATTTATTTATTTTTTAATTTGGCCAGAGAAAGAAAGTTAAAATGAGAAGGCAAGCCACCATGTCCAGGACTCAAACCATCATTGGCCATGTGAGAATCCTGTGCCTTAACCACTATGCAACCTGCCAGCCCCTAACTATAAATTTTATTTGGCTCATTTTAGGTACAATATTTAGATCATGGATTCACTGAGAAGATTCCACAGTGTCACCTTTACCCTATTTTGCTATATCCTGACATACCCCAGTTTTGTATTCCTTGTCAGCTCCATAATGCCATACCTGTGAGTATGTAGTAATTTGTGGGATGGTTAATTTTCATTTGTTTCATTTTGTTTGTTTGTTTGCTAGAGGGCATGTGTGCTTATCAAAAAAGGGAGAGGAGAAAGCACATTCCATGGGAAATTGTTACAATGTAATCTCTTCATCTCTCTGTTCCTTTTATGATTTTGAAAACATACACATATACATGCCTTTCAAGTCCTTAGGTCCAGGACCCAAACAGCCTAGTTTTCCGTGTGTCTGCCTTAACCACCAGATTGTGGAGCCAGCCCAAAACTATATAAATATAATTATATAAATAAATATAATATATATAAATAAATAATATATAAATATAAATATATATATAAATAAATATTATATATAAGTATATATGTTATATATTATATAATACATCATATAATATATATATTTTAGAAATTAGAATGTAAAATATCTTCCAGTTGCAACAAAAATAATAAAATACCTACAAATGGCAGCTAAACAGCTTTCATAAAGAAAACTATAAAACTATATACTGAAGAGTATAAAACAACCAAATATATTAAGAGACATAATATGTCTCTAGATGGGAAGCTATGAGATTGTAAAAATGTAGTTATTTATCAAATGAATTTGAAGCTAGAATTTAGATTAAAGAGGGATAAGGTAATTATATTTTGCCCCCTAGAAAATTAAGCTAAAATGTCTAAAACAATAATAAACTTTCATTCTCTTGTACAATTTCTGTGGCTCAGGGTTTGGGAGCAGTTTAGCTGTGTGGTTTTGACTTGAGGGACCTTGTGATAATTACAGTCAGAATGTCTTCTAGAAGAGTCATCCCAGGATGGGCTGGAAACAGGATCCTTTTCCCAATGGCGTACTCATGTGACTGTAGGCAGGAAGCCTCACTTCCTGGACACATGAACCTCTTAACACATAAAATCGAGTCACTGCTTCGTAATGACTACATATTATAGGCTTGCACATGCACTGCACTGGCTTATTGGTCTTTTTTTTTTTAAGTTTTAAATGTGATATTTTTAGTGTAGGTTTATATTTAGAAAGCAGAAACTAAGTGAAAACTATAGGGAGAAGTTCAGTTAAATTACTCATTTTTTAAGATTTTTATTATATATCTATAATATTCTCTGAAAACTGCTTGAGTATTTTTTACTACTATTTATTATTATCTGTTTATGGCTACTTTTGTGTATCTTCATTTGCTTCCTGCTCTGTCTCATTTTCTGAAACTGTAAAAGAACCTGAGTTTATTTTTCCTAAGTAGGTTGGGAAAGTCTGGCAACAGGATGCAGTAGAACTGCTTCAGGAACTGCTTTCAAAGAGAGAGGTGGAAATTCACATTATGGTAATTTATACTTAAAACATATATAGTTGGTTTAAGTTATTTGCCATAAAATGTTATAGCTAACATAATTTGAGGGATATATTTTGATAATAAGCATGTCATATACATTCTTATAAGAAGTTTCTACTTTGGTTCCTAGGCTTGTTTTAAATAATATGCCTAATTTTGAACAAGTTCCAAATAACTTTTTTGTTTGGTTGGTTTTTGGTTTGGGGGAAGAGTTGTTTTTTATTATTATTATTTTACATTCATTCACTGTACATCATCATAGCATACAAAATGAAATTTCCCATCCAGAATATAATGTATATTGACTTAATATTACTATACATGTTATCATCAACAAACAATTTTTTCTTTCCTGTTTCTTATATATTTTGCATTTCCCCCCCTTTGATTCCTTACTACTCACTGTCAGCCATTTCCTACCCTTCTCCCACACTGTCTCTGGTATCTACAGTTGCTTTCCGTGCCTCTTTTTATTTTTTCACATTTTATCGATGTACAAAAAATCTTAAATACTTTCAATAGCAAGTTCAGCTGATATATATCTGTGAACACATGTCTGACTTTAGACATAAACCACAGTGAGTAGAATGAACATACTATAAACTAGCACCTAGCTGAGGCTACATAGCTTACTGAGGTCATTAAGTAGGAATTTTTTAAATATATTTTTTAATTTCAAGAAAAGCAGTTTTAGCTTTAATAAATTAAAAATCACAGAATGTTAAGAAAAATTTGCTTAAGACTGAAAAAGGAAAAAGGTTAGGATTCTATTCAAATAGCAGGTAGATGAACCTATCGAAAGCTGAAGAGAAGGCAAAAAATCCTTAAATCTAGAAAACAAAGCATAGGAGAAAATCAGTCATGTTCTAGTCAAAAGTCATAAATTCTGTTTTACCAGTTCAGTCTGATTTATTTAATCTCTCCTGTTATGGTCCAATCTTTCTTTTTAAATTCTGGAAGTTAACATTCATTTCCAGACTTGTCCTTATTATTAAGTTGGCCACTTTCTTGGTTGTTTTTTGGACTCTCATTTCTGTGTGTTTGTCTCTATAACCATTAAAGTCAGTAATTTGAAAGACTTTTATTAGCAACTTATTGTACTTATTTTGATAATAGGAAGCGATTTATAAATATATGTAGCAGTTTTCAGGCTGATTCTGTGTAACACTGTGTTAGGTGCAGGTAATTCAGAGTCTATTAGGATCCCTGTCCTCAAAGACCTCATCTAATTAGTGAAATGAGACCTACATTTTAAAAATTCATACTGAAATGCAACATACCAAGAGCCAAGTGACTGGTAAAAAAGAATAAATGTAATAGGAATTTAGAGATGGTAAAAATTGAGGTATCCCTTTTAGAAAAGATGGGAAAGTTCTGACTGGGAAAATGGAATGCACAAAGCATAGAGAAGCATTTTTGGAAAACTGTAACTGTAGAATAATGGAGTAGTGAAGCCAGTTTCATATTTAGTGACTGTAGAATTTTAGTCATCAAATAGACTTTGTAAAAATAATCTTCTTTATTGAACTTAAATAGGAATTACCTGAAAATCCATGGGGAAAATTATGTATTCAGCTCTATTTTAATGGAATGTCACTTTCTTACTTTATGGCATACCATAAATATTGTACTTTTGAACATTCTGAGGAGATATTGAGAGAAGTAAGTAAACAAAATTTTTATTTCTAGAATAAATTACTTTTAATGTAATATGTTGTCTTATACCTCAAGTCTTAACTATGATTGTACATATGTGTCTATTAAGAGTATAGAGAACTTAGAAATTCTTTGTTTAGGAAGCAGTACACTGTATCATAAATGTCCTGAGAAGACTTCAATTCTATTAAGATTTAATGTTTCTGTATCTTCAAATCTAATGAGACATCCATATGTTTTTTAAATGTTCTTTGAATATAGGGATGTACATTATAAAATCTTTATAGAATTTAGTGCCAGCAAAGGGCTCCCTCTCCCCAGAGAAACTATTTTTTTTTTTTTGCTTTTACTTGACATAACATTTTCCCATTTGCCTTCTCGTAGGAAACTCAGAGCCACATTTTGAGCTTAGCTTCAAAAAAATACCTTGATCCTCAGGACCAGCAGTTAGTGTAATGGCTATGTCGCTGGATTCCCATGTAGTTGACCACAGTTCGCGTCTCAGACCCAGTGGCTTAAAACTCAAGCTGGGCATGCATGTGTGTGTACCCAAGATCCTGAGAGGAGAATGAAGGAGAAGGGATTGTGGTGTGGCCATCCCCCCTGGGGGGGGGTGATTTCTTGCTTTCTGGCTCTCTGTCTGTCTGGCAAGCGCATGCGCCCTATAGCAAAAAAAAATAAAAATAAAAAAATAAAAAAACAACTTGTTCCAGATGCCTTGTGCTTCTACTTTCATATTTTTTTTCAATTTGCCAGAGGGCACATGCACTCACCAGAGAGTAACTGAGAGAGGTAGAGAGAGAAAGCATCCCAGTGAAGCATGGTCACACTACAATGTCATTTCTCTTCTAACTCCCCAACCTGTTGGGATTTGGAGGCACACAGCACATTCTCATCATGTTTTTCAGGCTGTTGGGGCTAGGATTTGAATCATGTAGTCAGCCACATAAAATCTAGTTCCCTCAACTACTGGGCCATAGAACCAGCCCTTTACTTTTATATCCTAATATATATATATATATATATATATAAAATTATCCTATTATAGAAATGATTTCACTTTGCAATTTGCTATAAAATTCTTTATAGGAATAGAGTATACACCATAATAAGATTTTTTTTTAATCGTCAGAGGGTACTTGTGCTCACCAGAGAGACACATAGAGAAGGCGAGGAAAGGAGTACCCCATAATGGGATATGGTCATGCCCCAATCTCTTCTCCTCCATCTCTCCATCCTGACAGGATTTGGGGCAGGTACACGTAGATACTCAGCATGTTTTTCAAGCTACTGGGTCTGGGATTAGAACCATTATCAGCCATGTGGAATCTGGCTCCCTTACCCACTAAGCTCTAGGACTGGCCCAATAATAACATTTTATATCACAAGATATTTTATTTCTAGACTTTTAGTTTGTTTAATATTTATTTTAGTGATAGTACACAAGCAAACACTAAATGTTCTATTCAGTATAAGTACTTTCCTCTCTCAAACACATGTGTGTAAAAGGTGCTTCATCTATTCAACTGGTTTTATTTTTATTTATTTTTTATTATTCATACATTAAATCACTATACATCATTTAGATTGTGAAGAGACTTCACCCAGCATGATATACACCTCAGTCCAGCCCAGGTGAGACCACCACACACCACTGTCTCTCTTCCAGTTGTTGTCTTCACTATGAACATTTTAAAGGGAATAGAGCTGCCACCCTCTTAATAAACTGATTACCACTGACATGTGTTTAGCATAATTCTGAGGATTCTTTTGAAATATAAGTAGTAAGGTTACTCAGAACATTGTATTTTCTATAGTTATTGTGAAACAACTAAATAAATACCAAGAAGGATATGCACCCCCCCCTTTTTTTTTAATTTGCTATAAGGCACAAGGCATTTGTCAGAGAGAGAGAGAGAGAGATGGGGGGAGAGAGAGAGAGAGAAAGTGAGAAAGCATTCATCAGGTGGATGACCATGCCACAGTCCCTTCACTCTCCTCTCAGGATTTTGAGTATGCATGTTCATGTGCCCAGTGTGTTGCTTAAGTTGCCAGTCTGAGACTCAGACCATACAGCTGGCCATATGGAATCCCACCTCCCTAACTACTATGCCACCTGGCTGGCCCAGTGTGCACCCATTTTCTTTTGTGAGAATGAAAGCTTTAAAACAATATTGCATAGTCAAAGATGGTTTTATTAATTAATAACGTTGTGCTATTTCAGAATCCAACAGATTGCATTAAGGAATATGAGGAGGAAAGATGGGAAATAAGGTTTGAGGTAAGTTGCAATCCAAATATTTCTGGAAATTCTGAATACTTCATCAATATAAACGATCTGATATAGGATCAGGAAGTTAGACCTTTATTTATTTATTTTTTTTACCACTGTTTTGAGATGCATATTATTTACATTCATGAAATTCACTTTTTGAATTGTATAATTCAGCAGTTTTTAGTATACTCAGAGTAACCACCACTAATTCCAGAACAATTTCATCACCCCAAAAAGAAGCCCCATCCCAGCAGCACCTTCTCTATTTTTACCTTCCCCAGCTTCATGGCCCCACTTATCTTTGTCTGTATGGATTTGTGTATTCTGGGTGCCATATACAGGAATCATATAATATGTGATTGTTGCTACCTTTTTTTAAAGAATTATTTATTTAATTAGTTTATTATTACTAATTTTTAATTTGCTAAAGAGCAGTTGCACTCACTAGAGAGAGAGAGAGAGAGACAAAGAGAAAGTGAAAAAACAAGCTGCCACATCCGAGACTTGAACTGCAGTCAGCCATGTGGGAGTCCAGTGCCTTAACTACCTAGCTGCTGTCACTGACTTTTCACTTAATATGCTGTTTTCCAGGTTCATATATGTTGTAACATGTAGCAGCACACCATTCCTTTTTATTGTTGAATTTCACTAATTTGTTATAACAAACATATGCCCGTTTTATTACCATAGAAATGAAATTCTGTGCTGATAATCATAGAAATAAAATCCATTGAGTGGATATATTTTGTTTATCCAATTGTCTGTTGATAGGTACTTGGTTTCTACCTTTCAGTAATCCTGAGTAATGTTGCTACAAACTTTCATGTACAAGTTTTGTTTGTTTAGCTTTATGCTCTAGGGTGCTGCGCTTAATAGAGAGAGGCAGAGAGGGAAAGTGATAAGGCTATACTGCAATCCCTTCTCCTCTATTCTCCTTCAGGATTTTGGGCATGCATGCACATGCTCCCGGCATGTTTTTTAAGATGCCAGGTCTGGGACTCAAATCATGAAGTCAGCTACATAGAACCCAGCACCTTAACCATCATGCCATCTACTGGTCCATGTACACATTTTTATGTGAACACCTGCTTTCCTTTCTTTTGGGTATATCAACATTTTAAGAAACTGTAAGACTTTTTCCCAAAGTGGCTACACCATTTTACTTTCAGACTAGGAATGTGCAGTGTTGGTAATCTGACTTTTTTTTTTCTAGCTTTCCTAGGATAGGTGTGAAGTGGTTTATCGTCAAGGTTTTGGTTACATTTCTCTGAGGATTAATAGTGTTGAGCATCTTTTCATGTGCTTATTGGCTATTTGTGTAGTTTCTTTGGAGAAGTATTTACTCAGATCCACTGCCTTTTTTTTTTTTTTCTTTAGGGCACATGCACTCACCAGAGAGAGAGAAACTGAGAAATCACCCCCCAGGGGAGATGGCCACAGTATTCACTTCTCCTCCATTCTCCTCTCAGGATTTTGGGCACCCACAGACATGCCTACCATGTCGGTATTTTGGGCACCCACAGACATGCCTACCATGATTTTAAAGCTACTGGGACCAGGATTCAGATCTCAGATTTGGCCACATGGGTTCCAGTGCCTTAACCTCCAAGACACCTGCTGGCATCCCCACTGCACATTTTTAATGGATTATATATCTTTTTTATTGTTGAGTTTTAAGACTTTTTATATATTCTGTATACAAATCCCTTATCAGATGAACAGTTCTCAGATATTTTCTCCTATTTATTGGTTGTCATTTCACTTTCTTGATAGTGACCTTTTAAGTACTAAAGTTTTAAATTTTGATAATGTCTAATGTATCTGGTTTTTTCCACTTGAACTTTTTGATGTAGGAAAAGTTTTGGGGTTTTTGGAGAGGTTTTTTTTGTTTTGTTTTGTTTTGTTTTTGAGAGGTTTTCGCTATAGGGCGCGTGCGCTCATCAGACAGACAGAGAGAAACGACAGAAAGCGAGAAATCACCCCCCAGAGGGGATGGTCACGCTGCAATACCTTCTCTTCCATTCTCCTCTTGGGATCTTGGGCACGCACGCACACGCGCCCGGCGTGGGTTTTAAGCCA